ATAGTGAGCAGGTCTCTGAAGGTGACTATACTTATCTTTTTAATGGAGTATCAAAATAGCATTAAGGTTTTTTACAGGTTTTTTTAATTAAACATAACAGATTTTATTCAACTTGTAGTTACATTTCAAACACAAACTGCAGACTTGCAACAGAAATTTAGTTTTCAAGTAGTAGCATGAAAGAAGCTAGAGCCAAATTTTAAACTGTTATGTCATATGGGTTATGCTGCCATTGTACTGAATTACTGTGCTGATAGCTGTGACTCAGAAGTTGGGTCTTGTGTATATGAGAAATGGTTGTATGGTTTAGAATAATGATCACTTTTTCCCTGAATAAAGATTCTTCTCCAAGGAGCTAAAAGTTGGAAAAATTAGCAAATGAACAAACTGTCTAAATCATGCAATACAGCTCCATCAGTAAGAAATCAGTTATCATCGTTATTATTTATGTATAGTATAAGAACAAGCATATAAAAGAAATTAAGAACAATTCCTACAGCATTTTCAACTGTGAAGTATAACTGACTGTTCCTGCCAGTCCAGGATGAAACTGTAGAGAATAGTGCTGTGTATTGCCCAATCTTATTTAAGATACACTCTATCCACTCTCTTCTTCCAAAGTCTTTTTTTTTAAAAAACTGTGATCAAGATTGTCCCTGTCTCATTTCTAGTTTTAAATTCTATACCTATGTTTTTACCACACACAGATGGATGATGTCCTGTTAGGCAGAATTTGATTTAGTATTGTTGAAGATGTTGCTGAAAGGAGTATCTCATCAGATGCCTCTTAGAGCTCTAGGTCACTGTTTAACTTTTATGTTTTTAAGAAAAAGTCTTTTATGAAATTTAACAATTTAGAATGCAAATGAAAATGATACCTTAGGGACATTCCCAACGCTTTCTTATATGCTCTGAGGTGATTGAAGGCAATGTTACAACATAATTTTATGTCTTCAGGAACTTGCTTGATTTTCAAGAAAATATCTTGTGTTTAGTCTAGCTTGTGTTTTATGTGTGTTTTTTCTCATCTCTTATTTATATAGTCTTCCAGCTCCCTTGCTAAAAGCACTTGATTATTTTCTGCCTCCAGAGGATGCTCTTGTTTTAGCAGGGAAAAGATTTGACATAATGAAGAAGTAAATGCTGTGTTGGTAGATGATGACAGCCAAATCTTTTGTAGCCCATTATCATCTCTGTGGGTTTAGTTTACAGCCTGGAGCTGTTGGAAGGTTGCAACACTGGACATATTTTACAAACAGAAGGAAGGCTGAGTACTTTGGAATTATGATGTACTCACATAAGAGGCATATTTTTAGCTCTATTAATGTTAAAAATAGATCAGTCGCTTAGGAACGGAATTTCTTTGCATTTAAATTCTGTCTTAAGTAGAGTAGTTTATCCCATGTATTATTACAGCCAGATTGCTAGACCTTGTCTATTCAGTTACATGTATTTGTTTTACAAGTTTTATTAGATAGTTTATTTTTAACTACATCAAGCAGCTAAACCTAAAATGTGAGTTAGCTTATTATCAAGGAAGGTTTTATATTTGTTCATATTTCCCTTTCTTTTGGGAAAGTGAGCACTGCAGTGTGATGTTTTTTCAGTGGTATTTAAGCAATATTTATTGATGTGTAATTCCTGGCTGGTGAGGGCTCTGCAACAGCTGTCACCAGCACTGTTTTAAATCTTGTCTCTTGATAATTTTATTAGTTCATGAAAGAGGTTACAAATGTAACAAACTTGAGTGAATTGCAGTTGTAATGTGACAGAAATTGAAGAAAACAGAAGAAACATTACTTTGTTGTTTGAGAAGTGGAAAAAAAAAGTAGACCCATAAGTAAACCAGCTAAATTCATCATCTTGAAGTTGTATTGGCTTAATATTGGAGAGTAATGTTTCTATATACAGTAATTAGCAGTACTTCCAAGCAAGCAGTTAAACTTTCTGGTGTAATGTTGTCTTTCTGCTGAAAGTGTAGTAATTCGATCCCTGTTGTGCAATTTTAGGAGCTGGGAATCATCGCTATTTTATGGGATACCTGTTCTTCCTGCTTTTTATGATCTGCTGGATGATTTATGGCTGTATCTCTTGTGAGTAAATGTGATTTTTTGGCTTTTTTTTTTTTTTTTTTTTTTTTTTTTTTTTTTTTTGTCTTTTTGTCTTAGCTTCTAAATACATTATCTCCTTATAATGGATTTCTTACAGATTTTTACCTTATCAGACTTTTGGATGTTTTTATTCTGTAATTGAACTGCACATAAATATTTGACAATGTTGGATATTTTAATTTAGAAGATGATGTTTTTCTTGTCCTAGATCTTATTTTTTCTTCATAACAGCCAAGTATGTGCATGTGTCATGTATTCAAGAAGCTGGGAAAGGAAGAGAGAGCAAGTAAAACTATTTTGGCACATTGTCATTTTCTTACTTAATGTGACACATTCTAATGTGGGCATTGTGTTGATGTACATTAGACATATCTTAAATCTTCTGTATATTTTTTGACACTTTTTTTCCCTCTAGACTGGGGTTTCCACTGTGAGACAAGTTACACAAAGGATGGATTTTGGACCTACATTACACAGATTGCTACCTGTTCTCCGTGGATGTTTTGGATGTTTCTAAACAGTGTGTTTCACTTCATGTGGGTGGCAGTGCTACTCATGTGTCAGATGTATCAGGTATGGAAGAGTGCTTCACTTGTAATGATGATGACATAAGAATGTTCAGTAGTTCTGTCATTTAAATTTTCCTGTTCATTGTGCATGACCAAGTGTTTAGTGTGTCAGCCTTACTGGAGGAGTCAAGTACCTGTTTTCTCTGGATATTTGGCATCATTCACTTCTCATTCACTTGGGCTTTCTTTTGGGGTTTTGGGGATTTTTTTTGTGCAAGAGGTTAAAATACCTACTACTTGCTTTTTATTCTCAGCATGACAGAAAGACAAAACAGACCATAGAAAGGCAATAAAGACTAATAGAGGATAAAATATGTGGGGACAACTGGGAGTAATGCAGTATATCATTAGCAGGAAGGGGGTGGTAACTTCAAAGGGGATGCAGTAATTCTTAACACTGTTTCAGCATGATTTGAGGTCACTTTACTGTAGGGTGCTCTGAGCAAACCCAAGCCTTTCTTATAATTTCTAAGGAAAGAAAGGTCATATTGAAAACCTTTAAGTATGATTTTTGAAAGTCTTTCAGTATGACTTGTTATTAATGATCCATGAAACTTACTGATTTAATCTTTCCTGAGGTCCTGGAAATAAAAATAAGCTCTAAGGCTTAGGTAGAACTTGTCAGGAAATTTAAGTTTTGTCCTCCCTTTTTACAATATTCATCACTTAAAACGTATACCAATTTCAAAATCTTACATGTATGAGCAAGAACTATTCAGTCTTTTAGAGGTCTTTCCTGCCCAAGACAAATGAGCAGAGTTCAGGTGCCTTTCAGAGCAGTCTAACCCACCAGACTGCTAGCAGAATAAGCCTGTAACTTTCTGGAGAACCTTCCATTGTACTTCCATCCTGATCCATGAAGCTCACCATTGAGGATTCCTGTTAATACAATAAGCATACAGATGAATCTTTGAATTATGCCACTTGGGAATCTCATGGTATTTTGCATTATTAGTGTAATTAAGCAGAATAATTCTAGCATTTGACTTCTTTAATAATCCTGGAAAAAATGAAAACGAACACACATATTGCTAGATTTCCTAGGAGTTTTGCACATAGATAACTTAGGATTGCTATTGGCAAATCTCTTTGAAGTTTGCCATAACAATGAAATTGATAAAGTTGTTGTCTGAATTGCTTCTTTTGATGTGCAGCTGCATAGCCCTTGTTCTCACTGCTTTTGTTTTGCTGGTCTTTTCTCTTCACCATAAAGTCTGAACTTGTCCTTCTTAGGAACTGCCAGAGTTACTGTCAAAACACTACATACTGTCTTGGGGAAAAAATTTAAAGCCTTTACTTCCTACTTAAAAAAAGAACACTTTTTTCTGATCAGCTTTTGGTCTTGTGTACAGAAAAGTTACGTTACTGCAACAAATTATAAATAGGGAAACTATATTACTGGAGCTACAATGAGAGCAGCTACAGGAGGAAAATGAAAGTCATTCAATGCTATGTAAAGTAATTACTGAATTACACTATTTACACTACACTTCAGTTGACAGTATAGAAAAGACATCTTTTTCTTGTGAATTACAAAGCCTCAGTTTATTCGGTGATCATGATTTATTTCTGATCACTTTGAAAATTAAACCTTTTGCTCAGTCTGGTATGGCTGTTATATGGTGTTTTATGTTTGGACCTGATAATTTCTCCAGTCAGAAATTCCTTCTTCAAAAAGAAGGAAGATAAAACAGTAAATTTGCTCCTCCTATTTCAGTCTGGCTCATGCAGGACTCGTCTGCATGTTTTTGTGTGAGCTAAATGGCTTATTCTTTTTCCTGTCTGCAGATATCTTGCTTGGGCATCACAACAAATGAAAGAATGAATGCAAGAAGATACAAGCACTTTAAAGTTACAACCACATCTATTGAAAGCCCATTCAAGTAAGTTTAAAAGCATACACATATTTCTTAGTTGTGTAGCCTTGCATACGTTCGAATTGTGCTGCTTGTTGAAACAGAACACAGCTAAGTACTTCTGGAGTATTTTCACTACTTGGAATGCTGAATCCGTCAGCTATTTTTACAGTAACTTGTTCTGCCCAGTTAAAGGAAGTGATAAATGTTTTGTAGTATAGGGATGCATAAACACAGGAAA